TAGCATGGCTGGAGTCCATGCCAGTCTCTGGAATGTGGCACCAAAAGGTAACTCGGAGTGGCTTTTGTCCTCGCCTGGACTTCTAGGATACAAGAAACTCAGATTATTATTTTTTTTTTTTTTTAAGTCTTAAGGTCAAATCTTGCCTTTCTATCACTGTATTTTCTGTTCAGTCCCTGTGCAGTGGCTGAATTTTGGTCTTTTGGTGCAGCTGGTGGCATGAAGGGGTATGTGGTGTGACTGACCCGAGCTGGTTGATGGGTTTGTGGTGAGCACCTTGCTTTTGCCATGGCAGTGGCAGGTGTTCAGGCTGCAGGCACAGCTGGTTAGGAGGCTGTGCAGAAACCGTTTCACACTGCTCAGAATTTGCAATACCTTTGAGGAGGGAAAGGCAGAATTTGGGCCCTCAGAACGACACCGGAGTGGATAATTGGAAATGCACTCTTAAACTCAGTGGCAGAGAAGTTAAGGTTTTAATTTTCAGTTTTGTGCCTCTAATATAATCTCTACTGTTACTAAATGTAGGGAAGGAAACTCCTTATCTACAGAGCAGTCCCTCCAGACCAGGCTAGCTCACAGCAGTGTAATGTTACTGTCTTTTTGACCTGATAGTCTAAGAAAAGGATTAGTGGCTGATTTTGGTTCAGGAGATTTGTTTGAACGTTAATTAGTTATTAACTAACACTTCCCGTGATCTCTGCTGTCTGTCACTGTATGCAGCAATACTCGGGGCCAGGTGTGCATCCTCTTTCACAATGGCATCCTGACCGGTCGGGCTCTCGAGGTGCCCACCACCTCTGCAGGCTCAGGGTGAATAGGCAGCGTGATTAAAGCAGAGGCTGTCACCTTGGCGTGTGTACTCCTTGTCCTGGCGCAGAGATGAAACTTAATCCTTGCACTGATCCTCCCTCCGTACCAGGTGTGAGCCGCAGTCAGGCAGCTGATTCCTCGCGGTGAGGTGCTGCCCATGCCACCTCCTCCTCCTCTCCTCAGTGTTCTCCTGACGCTGTAGTCCTGCGCGCGCTCGAGGTTTGCTCACGCTGTGCTCCGAGCAGCAATGAGAACATGGTGTTGCAGCTCGGCTGCCAGCCAGCACAAGCCAGAGCTCAGCAGGCTCGGCCGTGCCTGCGGGTACAGTCCAAGGGCTGAGAGAAGGAGGGTCCTTGCTGGGACGCTGGCACGTCCCTTGGAATGACAGGGGAGTCTGGAGGTCACGGTTGTCAGTCAAGACTGCAAAACCGCGTCTTGACCGTTGCGTCCCTCCCGCGGGGGGGGATCTCCTGCTCTGTCTCCAGCAGCCTGAGCAGGGTGCTGAGCAGGGGGAGCGGCCAGGTGGTGCCCCCGGAGCGGGTGGAACCGCTTCCCCGTGACTCAGCCACCAAACCGTCCCGGGTGCATCGCGCGCTGCGTTCTCCTGCGGGTGAGAGCTTGCGACTAAACACAGCGACTGGCATGTTTGGGGCTTGAACTGAGAGTCAGTAACAGGACAGGGATCTCTGCA